CTCTGCAGCTACAAGACTAGTCTAAGCAGGGTTCTTTGGCTTTTGCTGTCAATGTGGAGCTATTGATCCATGAACATAAATCCTTGCTTATCTCCAGTCAAGTTTATAGGACAATGAAATTATAGGATTGCTTGAATCAATCAATGTTTCTAAAGCAAGCTATAGAAATATAAACAAGTTACCGATTATTTAATAAAGTCAATTTTCTTAGAACTGCCCGGCCATGGGCAGCAGATGTTACATTAATTTCTGCCTTCTCTGGAATTTCACTGGGGCTGCAAGATCTTAATGTCACTATTAGCAAAGGTAACTTTATTTTAGAAACTCATTCTGAGCTCTCACAGCAAGAGGAAGAAACTGTCATTCCTTTTGACCACAAAACCTGTGCTATTTCTAAGTGGAGTTCTTTGAAATAACTAGGATATCTCACAGCTTGTTGCTTTAGAGGGGACTTAGTACAGCGGCACTACATTTAGTTAGCATAATGAGTTTTTTAGCCCCTCTGATATTGACTGAATTTGAAGTACCGTAACTTTTTGTCAGCTAAGATTAAATTTGTTAGTGAAGTACAAGTTTGCATAATATTTTAGCTTTCCTAGAATTTTAAGCCGGGTACCTGTTTTCTGAGAAGCATTTGGGTTAACATAACCAGGTTCTGAGTTGGGGAAACAATTTAAGTATAAAAGTGGTCTTTCTGTTTCTCAGTAGGAAGTGTCATGAAAGCGGCTTCCTCAGCGTGGTTTCACGGTTGCCATGTTTGCCTTTTGAGATCCAGTTCATTGGAGTGATTTTATTCATGGTTCAAGAATCTTCCATAAGCCCGTGGTATCCTTTTGGTGCTTCCGTCCATTTTGAATGCAGAGCAGGATCTTCATAAGTAGACTCTGATGCCTTGGTAGTCTGTCTGTTGAGTAGTTTGTCATAGTTTATCATGCAGGAGTACAAAATCATCTGATTAATCTGCTTGGCCGATCCTTGAACAGGGATAGTAATAATGAAGTCATAGACGGCCACTGTAAATCCCTCTATTCCAATACATTAATATTCCCAGTACTTCAGCTATTAAGGTTGTTTAAGTATAAAAAAATCTCACTGTGAAATGTGCCTTTCATCTTTTTGATTGGTCTGCCTTAAAGATGTTAAGAATTCATTTTGGCATTGGAAAGGTTTTTCTCTTTAAGATAAATTAAGATCATATATATTTACACAGTTTTGTACATGGGCTTTGTTAAAGCTTATACGTAAACTAGTCTCTGATTAATCTCATGGGGTTTTTTTTAAGCTCTTCTGTGGTATTTCATTTGCAGTATTTTGTGGCTAAGCTGTCTATATAACAGAATTTCCTTGACCTGAAGACTACAAATTTTTATAGAGAAGAACTGCTACAAAATTAAAACTTAACACCTTTCTAGACTTCCTTCATCTATCGTAAAGTTGGTGTGGCTCAGCCTTAATTAGATTATTATAGACCTAAAACATACGAGGTAGAATAGCATGAGAGGAGTTGAATTTGGTCATTAGCAGGAGTTCGTGGTTAGTCAAGCCGGTTAGTCATTAGCCTCTGAAATACATAAGACTACATTTTTCATTTGATATGCTTTGAAGACAGGTCAAAATCCTTAACATGATTTAGGTCTGCTGAGAAGGTCTATAATCCTGCTTTTTAATAAGCTCTGTAGTTCATGTCCAAACGATACTTGTGTATGTCAAGCATTGCTGAGGCTCATTGCCACACTTGTATTCATTCTGCAGTTGAAATGCATTGTTTTGGAAGAGCCTTTACAGAAAATATTCCTGGAGTTAGAGCAGACAGGGCTTTAAGGCATGAAGGCTTTCTGGCCAACCTGAATTGTCTGTGTGCTGGGTTTTTTTTCTTTTTCAGTGGAGAAACGCTTCAATTTCTCACACTTGGAATGCTGTAATGTACGTCCCTTTTTTAATATTCACAGCTGCGAATGTCCATGCAAGCTGAAGTTCTGGTTTTTTGGGATTGAAGAACTGCTTCTGTTTTGTAGGTCTGCCATTTGCTGGGGAGCTCCAAGGCTGCAGTTATGGCAGTGCCGGGGATTGAAGGGTGAGATGGGTGTCTTGAATGTGAGTTTGTGTTGAACATGTTTTTTTGTTGTTGAAGTTTGTGTTGAACAAGGTGGCAATCTGTGGAATTTACTTGCTCAGAGAAGAGCCCAGATGGCCCCGCGTCAAGGAGCTGTGAACCTTGGTAGATGCAATCTTGAGTGAAGCCTTGTGGAGGCAAATACAGATGATGACTCATAGCAGTCTGACAGGAAAGGGCTCTCTTCCACTTCTGCTTGTCTCTGGCTTCCTCCAGCATGCGGTTAGTGAGGACTTCGTATCTGTCTCCGTAGTTCTTTGATACCATTATCATAATCAGCCTGACCAGGGTGGCTCCACAAAAAGAACTGGGAGGTTGGTGAAAAATATCTGTGCTATTAACCAGTTAATTAGGGTGGTGTTTCTCATGTAAAGGACCTGTAAAGAGAGAGGGAACACTAGACAAAGGAGTGATTAATGGCCTGTTTTCATTGCTGTCTGCATCCTTGACTCCTTTCCCTCCCTCCCACCTTGAAAAGCATCATGTGGATTTTTGTGACTCTTCATGCAGCTGAGATCCTTAACTCTGGGGTGATAACTGTGGGCGTGTGGGTCTGCCATGAGGAGTGCTCCAGGTGGGGTTTGGAGTCAATGCTGTGCGCCACCCTTCTTAATGGTTGGAGTTAAACCCTCTAGCAAGGTGCCAAAGCTTAAAAAACAAAACATAAAAGAAGCCCCAACATCAAGAACAGAAAAGGATGGTGGTTGTTGTTGAGTGCTTGATTATGTGTTCTCTTCCAAATTGGATGCTGATGTGAGAGCCTGTTTTCTTTCATAATGTGTGTTTCTAAGAAGTGTTCATCCCACTTACCTCCCAGTGTGACTGGGAAAAGGCTCCAGTGTACTTCTTAAAGAATAAGTGAGGTCTGTACTTGGTGTTTGCTGATAGGAATTTTGCCGTTGACTAATAGGAAGGCATCAGTCCTCTGTGTGCAGAGAAATATGTCCTTTAATTAAACAGCCAAGTAAATTAAAGCACAGTGGAATTGGAATATTACCTTCTACACTTGTGGTGACTGGGTTTCTTTTTTGAAGAGGCTTTAATGCTTATGGATATTTGATTGTTATTTTTTTAATTAAAGTCCCACAGGATGAGTTGCTGGTTGGGATTGGCTTGTGCCCACTGATTAATTCCTTGCGTCACTGGTCTTGAATCTTGCTGCAGTTGTTCTTGGAGAACTTGGCAGCAGCAGCAAACTGGCAGAGCTGTTATTGACCCAGAATAGCAATAGCATTCTTAATACAATAAGCAAGGTTTTCTGTGAACTACCGTGCTATTCTGTGGAGCTGATGAGCTGGTTAACACCTTTTACTTATTCTGCAAGGATCTGAGGCTGGAAGGAAATTAATGCAGTTGTGAAGCACAGAGAACCAAAATAGCAGTGATTCAGTTAGAGTAGAGCCAAATCTTCTTAAAATTAAACTCCATTGTGTTAGAGACTTTACTTTTTTTGATACCTATATTATTAACTTCTCTGATAAGAGCTGAAAATGTAATACAGTGATATTGGAGAAGCCTTGCACATTAAATCTAAGCTATTATCTTGGGGTTGTATGAGAAGAAACCACTCTTCATCTGGTGTGTTATGGGAATCAGATGTTGCAGAATTTCTGTTTCTCAAGGTTACCGTATAATTCACAAACCTAGTTTTTTGGGTAGTTTTGATTTCCTTAACTTTCAAATAGGTTGCATGGAATAGGTTGGAAGGCTGTAGTACGTATATGAGTATTTCTAGTTTCATAAGTAACAAACAATACTGGACAGTCAGGGGAATTTTGTCATGGGCAAGAGTGTTTACTTGCAAGCTGCCGCTGCTGTTGTAATCCTTAAGATTTTTTTTATAATGGCATTTGATAACTTTGAGTGTAACAGGTTGATGGTCTTCTCTCACAGAAGTGCTTCAAGGTTTGCTTTCAGGTTGACTTTTCTAATTGGACTGGATCAGATACTTGAAACAGGATTGGGGTTTGCAGGCAGGAAAATATGGAATAAAGCTGAAGCATTCATATACTACAGACAAACCATTTCCCAAACTGCAGTCAAAGTTTGACAGTTCCTGTGTAGGTTGTTCAAAGGAGTGTGATAGCTTGACTGTGCCACAATGCAGAGACAGTAGATGTTAACCCTGATACTAGAAATACAACGCAGGGGTAGGCAAAGTGTCTCCAGAGAGGCTAGCTAAATGGTACCTCCAGGGGGGGCACTTCGTTGATCCAGGAAAATTCGCTGTAGTAGTCACAAACCTGAGATGATACGGCCAAACAGTGCTGTCTGTGGGTTAACCAGTGTGACAGATGCTGGCTTACAGACCCTGACACTACAGTTGGTTTTTTTTCTGCTCATTAGTTTTTCTTTCTATATATGTCTTCTAGTAGTCACATTAGAAGAATTTTCCCCTAATTCCTCCTTCTAATTTGATAATTTAAAGTTTACTTTGTTCCATTCTTTTAAAGTGTACCCAGTTTGGACATTAAGTGCTAATGAAGTTTTATGTTGCAGAAATGCTGTATTCTTGTTCCTTCAGAGAATGCCACTGTTTGTATGCCAGGCCACCCCTGAAGGGTCTTTATATTCTTTTTCCATGATCTAGATCATGGTCAGGCTCTCTCCCCCTCTTTTTTTTTTCCCCACACTTTCCCAAGTTTCCCATACTAGATGTCTAAAAACTTATTCAACAGCACTGATGTCTCAAGCGGTGGGTATGTAAATATTTAATGGCATGACAGTCAACAACAGTGGGAGGCGTGGGGGGGGAATTGCTACATCCTACCATTCAGGGAACCCTCAAGTTCTCTCTCAGAGAGTGCAGCTGATGAAAACAGGAAAGGTTTGCAGTTTGTACTTGACTTTATGTGTTTTTGCTCTCTTGGTTCCTGTTTTGTTGCAGATGTCATTCATATAGCTGTGGAAGGCTTTATCAGCTCTTGAGGAAACTTTCCCCTGCGCACACACTTACACCACTCCAGGCTGGAGCTGTAGTAGAGGAAAATGGAGCCTGTAGATCTCCTGGCATTTGCCTCCACAGAAATGAATAGGACAACAGTCACCCTGGCTTTGCTGGTGGTCTTCCTGGTTCTGCTGTATTGGTAAGTGACAACGATGATATGGGCTGCGTGTCAGACACCAAGCCTGCTGAAGCTCCCCCAAACATCTGTAGCCTTCTATTCATAAGGGGAAACTAGAAGATAATTGGTTAGAAGGGACGTGGAAGGGGAGCTGGGTTGGATGCAGAGGTGGAAATAAATATTGACAAAACTCATGATGCTTTTTAGAGAATTCTCCCCTTGCAATATTTTCTTGTAAGTGCTTTACCAACAAACTGCTAACAAAAATTGTCATCAAAATGAAGAACTTACTACTGTTGGTTTCTTATTCATTTCTGTAGGCGGCAGGAACATTGGTGCTGCTCAGAAAGAAACTGAGTACCTGTTACAGGGTCTGGTTGGACCTCTTCTCTGTACTATGCTGTACACTTGTCCCTTGCCAGGTTTCTTGGCTTAAGTGTACAGACGCTTTAACGGCTGCTTGAATTTCCTCACTTGTTCTTTCCACGCTGAATGGAAATCAGAATAACAACAACCCGAATGGTTAGCATAGTAGGCATTGCAGTGATCTGTGCTGAAATGAAAAAAACCCCACCCTGTCCGGATAATTTATTTCAGAAATTAAATTAGCTGAACTGGGAGTGCTTTTCTGACTGGTTTTACCTGAATACCTCTTCAAATCCCGCCTTCCAGTCGCCCAATGTTTTTTTTCTCATTTGTATGTCTGCTCAAGAAAAAGTTTCAGGGACAGTGGTAGAAAAAGAACCTCTAACAGAAACCCCAATCTAATCTAGAAAGGAATAGTGATGGCACCGTGAGTTCAGCACAGTTGTTGTAGCAGTGCAAATGACAGGTTGCTTCTGCACGTTTCTTCATTCTTTGACCCTGTTCAACTTCCTTGTGTGTTAATGGAGGGTGTAGAGAGACTAAAAAAGAGCAAAATCAAGCCCGTATTTGATGTGCGTTGCCATATCAAGTAGGTGAGTGAGCCTACTTTCTTAATAAGGTCTGCCCAAATCATCACAAAGGTCCAACTCCTACTTCCTTTGAATTTTACTAGGAAAAAGAATGGCAGCACTAGATCTTTCCGTAAAACCACACCGTTTAGCTGCTGACCTGTGGATCTCTGTAAGCTTAAGGGGATGAGAGGGAGGGCAGAGGCACATCCACAGTTCAGAAATGCAGCAGATCAGCTGGTGAGATCTGGAAGCCTGTGAGACAGCTGAAAGAGCCTGATGCTTCCATGTAGTATATGCCAAGATGTGCTGAGGTCTCTGAAGACACGTTACTGCTCGGTGTAAATGTAGGACACGTTCTGGTGCATGCTTCTCCAGAGCCTCATTTTCTGGTTCAGGCTGTTCCTCCCCTTGAAGTGAAGACATGGCAGTTTAGTGCAGAATTTAGTCTTGCCGTAAAGAAACCTAGCTCTTCTTGCAAACTGTAGTCGAAGTTAAACAGGGGTCCTGGCTGTGGACAGTCAGCCGCTGAACTGAGTGCCTACCATATAAGTTTCAAAAAGTCCAATTTAGGAATGAGGTGGGAAATTGCCTTACAGTAGAGATAACCCCATTCAGTGCTTCTCCTTTCCTGGCTGAAGGTGAATACTGTGAAGGCAACAAGTAAAGGAAGCTGGAGTTTTATGTGGGAAAGGGTTTTATACTCTTACCTGCCAATGGTCATTCCTAACCAATCTTGTTGATCTACAAATACACGTTGATTTTAAGTAGCTTGTTAGATACAGGTGCCTATAGGTCACTCTTCCAATAAGAAGTGATGGTTCTTAAACTTTCAGTGAAATATGCTGGGCAACATCAGTGGGCTATTGGTGGGTTTGCCTGGTGGCTAAGCTAGTCAGATCCATTTATTTCAGTGAAATGTGGTGACTGAACCTGTAAGATTAACGGCTTGAAGCACATCTGCAGGTGTGGTGGTTATTGTTCAAACCCGTCAACCTATTCATTTGAGAGTCTATTTTTTATAAAGTTTTTTTGTACTGCATGTCTGTTTAAACAAATGAGTAAAACCCAATGCGTGCTCACAGCTTCCTTTATTCATGGCTGAAACCTTGGGTTCAAGGAATTATTTAAAGAATATGCAAAGGGTTGCTAATAGTAATGCAGGTCCCTAATTCTACAGAATGTTTTTATTACAGTCATGTTGCATACCCAATTGTCTGGCTCTTCTAGGAGTCAGAAAACACAAGAGTTATGTATGGTAGGAGAAATAATAAAGTAATAACTCTTCAAGTTCCTTTGACGTTTTCATTCTAAGCCTTATTCTCGTTTTTTAATAACTTCTGAATTGTTCTTTTTCTAGCTTTTTTTCTGCCAGCATTGTATCTCTTTAGAAGGGCAGTCATGGAGGAAGGGAGGAATGAATATTTGCCATTGTAAATTTTGTTATGGTAGTAGCTTATGATTGATGGGGGTCATATTGGGTCAGCTGTTGTGTGAGTACAAAGAATAGGCAGTTTGTCCACCTTGTTGGCTGTAAAAGGCTTACAAGCTAAACAGAAGGCAGCTGCAGGTAGAGAAGAGAGTCGATAGATCTAATGCACGCTAGAATAGTAACGCAGCGATGGAAACTGTGGTGTTATTGAGCTATTTCCTTAGCATGAGTTTTGTGGATGGGGGTACTTGGTGGTTTAAATGACACCCTTGAGCTGCTGCCCCTCGGCTCAGCCTCAGTTCCTGTGAGCATGTGTATTGTAAGGCCAGCTGCGATTTATCACAGTTCAGCTGGCAACTGGTATCTTGAGAAGTTGTGATAAGACCAATCTCTTCACATTTTTGGGTAAGATGAGGTCATATGAAGCAGGGAGAGAAGCAAGGGTTGATTGAGAAAGGGAGGAGAGGCTGTAGCTGCATAAAAATAAACTTCTAGAGAAGATACAGGTCTTAGGAGGAAACCTGAATGATTTGGTCATTTTTTTAGACTGTTATTTATGATACAATGAAGATCATCAATAACTATAACAAATCCTCTAAGAGCACACCTCTGATTTCTCATGCATTGTCATCAGTGTAATATGAAGGTGATGCTTGTAGTGTATTGTGTCAATTTGAAATCAGTGGAAAATTTCAGCGACTTTAATCGCTCAGTGTTTATCCTCCACATGACCTTAAGTCAGCTGTAAGGAGAGGCTTTTTAAGGTAATTGATTTAATGTTGGGAGTAGAAAGAACAGAGAAGTTTTTGGGTACATAGTCTCTTCAGGTTTGAAATGGGAAGAACAAACCCGAGGTTGCTTTTTTGGTGAGCTGTTAATTTAATTGATGGTCTCAAGCCTGCTTGCTGTCCCCCATTCCTGAAGGACTTAGTTGTCCGCCACCCTCCCTATCCTCACTACTTGCTCTCAGTAGGTAAAGTCTCCTCTTGCAGGCTTCATATCATGGATTCTTCAATGGCTTTTGATACCTCATTACTATTGTGATAGACAATAAAACTGCTTTACTGACCCCAAAAAGGCATACTATGGCTAAATACATAAAGTTCAGTAATACCACTGGCACAACACTGAGCACTCTTAAAAAATCTCTTGTCCATGTCCCTCCCACCCCCTGTGATTTCTGCTAGCCAAATGTGATTATCAGAGCAGTTTCCTTTCAGAGCACTTTCTTTCTCAATTGCAAGGACTGCTCTCTCTGTTTGCTTAATCTCTGTGAATCTCAGGTTTCTTTCAGGCATGGAATAAAACCAAACACTTAAGGGAGGACTGAGGTTAACATTTACAAATCCCAGTGATATTCTCTACTGAAAAATACAGTAGTGTATCTATGCAACATACTGTTCATTTTCATTTCAAACATAGGCTGAGTTGGGTATCCCATGCTTGGCTGTAGCTGCAAACATTGCTTTGTGTCTTTCTTTTTTGCTGTCTGGGAAGATGTTTGATAAAATGAAAGCAGGAGTTTATCTTGCTTTAAAGTTTAATGTACCATAAGCTTAGCATTATGAAAAAGCTGTCACAGCATTCAGATACCTGTGTTCAAACTGGATTATCAACCCCTTGTCTAAACAAACCTGGGATTTTTTAGAAACATGGAGGTTGGATGGGAGGTGTCTGTTTATGTTTATAAGATACACGTCTAATAGCATGCTTTCAAACATAGCAAAACATATACTAGCGGTGTTCTTGTCTGTTTCTGAAAAGGTAAATCATTCAGAAAGACGCCATTTTTACATTGAAGTAATGTTAATGATCACTTGGGTTACAGGAATGTATAGAGAAATTGAGAGATTTGGGTTTCGCTGCATCTAGATACTGTCCACCCATTGCATAACAAGTCTGTTCTGACCCAAAGCATTTGCAGTCTCAGATCAAAAAGAATGAAAACTACCTAATAATTAATACTAATTAATATTTTTTTTTCCTCCAGCCTTAAGCCTAGACATTTGTGTACACTTAAGATGCAGGAGAAACTTAGACACAGGGGACAAGTTGTGTTAGGGTTCATCAGTTGGTACCATACCTGTACTAGACCACATCAGAAGCTAATCTCAGGACAGGTAGTATTTTGATACAGGTTACTTCAGTACTATCGCTTTTTTTGGCATTATTTTACATTTGTGGTTTTGGAAAGGGCTCTGAAAGAGAAAGTTTAGAGATAATCTGTCTCCAAATAAAACTTCATTCTGGTTTTGCAGAACCTTGCTATTTGGGCTTGAGTTGAGCAAAACTGAGATAAAATAGAACTCAGGGTTTGGGGTTTTTTTGGGTTTTTTTCATTTTTTTTCAAAGTAGATGCCACCTAAAATTAGATCATGCACCATTTTTTGCTCCTCAAAAAACCAGTATTTACGAAACATGTGTGATTGGTAGAGCTCTAGGTGTATGGTTTGAGTGCAGGTATAGGGTGAGCAGGATATTCTCCCTAAATGCATCCAGATAATGCTTCCAGACAGATCCAGTGTCAGGCAGTACAAACCTTGGATCCTTGCTGACAGGAGCACCAACTGTAGATGGGTAGCCCAAGCTTTTCCAGCTGTCACCGCTGCCATCAAAGGCACAGGGCTGCAAGGACCACGATGGCTGGAAGCAGG